ATTCATGACATCTATAAATATACTGTATATATATACACGCACATATAAAATCTTTTTTTTTGCTTAAAATATTTTTGGAAGAAAAATTCTGTCCAGCTCTAATTGATGTTAGAGGCCTTTGGATCTGGTCTGAAGGCTTTTCCTCACTGGGATTCATTACAATTTATTTTTGACACCACAGGTAGCATGTTTCTCATAGTTCAGATGTAATTAAGAAATGCCATCTCATGAACAACTCTTCCATGTAAATACAAAACTATGCACATTACTAATCCTCTCAATATAAATACTGTACATAAAACTATGTATTTGGATAAGCATTTTACTTGGAGACCTAAGCATGTGTTTTCTAAAACTAACTGGTGCTCACCCATCTGTTCAATAATCTAGAATAATTCACTCTCTCTTTTCTTCCCAAATACAAATTGCTTGGATATCACTATATTCACTGCAAGATTTCTTTTAATACCAACCAGTAATGCAGTGAAGGCATTTTCCCTACTGTTCTGCAGATGTCATACTACCCCATAAAATGTGCATGCTTTAGTTTCTACGGAAACTGAAGACAACTCTCTGCAAGTGTCTTTTCCTCAGTATAAATAACGCTGTTTTCCCCTCCCTTTCCTCAGGTGCCTATCCAAGACTCTCACTGAGCTTCAGGTTGAAGAGAAATATTGGATACTTTATTCTTCAAACCTACATGCCCTCCATACTGATTACCATTTTATCATGGGTGTCATTCTGGATCAATTATGATGCATCAGCAGCAAGAGTTGCCCTTGGTATGTGCTAAGAATGAGTGGGACATTAAAATGTCAGACTGAATGTAGCCTTCGGAGGTTGTTAAAGACTGCAACGTGATGTCAGTGTTTTGATATTCCAAAATCATTTACGTCAAAATCATGTCATTCAGTATTGCCTCAAAAGTGATAAGGTTTCCCCTGCACGCAAGAAAGTAGCTACCACTAAATCTCTGACATGAGCTGCTCATACAGGTCCCAGCCTTGTTCTCATCAAAGTTACTGTTGTTGTCAGTAGCTTCAGCAAGGGGACCAGCTCCAGAATCATACTCCAAGGGCTTGAGCATGGGCTTTTAGTCCAGCTCAGTGTGGGAAGACAAGTGTGGCTCCAAGCCTGCTCCTGAGGTCCTGGGTGCTTTAACTGACAGTGGCAGGAACAGACCTCAAGAACCATGTGCTCATTCAGAGCGCAGGGGCATGTCAGCTACGGACCGTGACATCCCGGCTCACCCTCAGAATGCGTGGTATGCTAAGTGCATTTTTATGACAGCTTAAAGTGCCGTTTACCTCATGGCAGAAAAACATGGATTTGACACAGATTGGTGATCCCAGTCCAAGACCTTTTCAGATCAAAGTATTGTTTAGATAAGCGAAGGTGGCTTCAAAATATCTCACAGGAAATATTTCATCTGTTACAGAAGCATACTCAGGGATAGCTAGAGACAAGGAATATTAAATGGATCCATAAATAATCCTTATGACTACTGCTGCCTCTCATCTCATCCCAAATCCTGTCTTCAACCCTGTGCTTCCCAATAGCACATACCTTCCTTCCCAAAACTTGACAGTAAGCCTATGCTGTATAACTTCCTAGTGTGCTCTCTTCTCTTCTTAAAACAGACACATATTCCCTAGTTCCCTTATTTTTCTGATGTATACCACAGCAAACTGTGACTCCAACCCATGCCCATGAGATTCCCCTTCTCTGAACCTCCCAAGATCCCACATACCAAAGCAGGCTGGGCAGCTACATGTATACCTTTATGCAATGTAATATTACATCCTAGCATCTGAACTTGGATAATTGAAGATATTGTAGATTAACTGCAGTTACTGTACAGTAATTCTACAGATACTGTGGATTAGCTGGTGCATATGGGCCTGACACAATCTGGCATTACCACTCAGCAGCTAGTGCATGTTCAGCAGGTTGCAGCTAAGTAGTAGCTTAATGGGAGGTGGGACATAGAGTCCAAACAGCTCTGATGTATATATAAATGAACTTCTGGATACCAAAGGTCCACCCTGGAGACATTATGACCGAGTGAGGGGAGCACTTCAAACACATCAGTCAGCATCTAGATTTTTACATGCCAGCCAGGACTGCAGAGAACAGATGGATAGACAGAAGTTACCAAACCCAGTGACATTCCATGCCCTTCTATAATGAGTTCACACAGTTTTTCCTTGTTTAAGGAACAGGACTGTCTCATGTGGCCTATTTCTGTGTAGCACAAGTTCATCAAGTACCATACTGTGATAACACAAATATTAGAATAAAAGCCGGAGAGTACATTCAAGGCAAGCTCAGGAGTCCAGATGTTCTATTTTCAATTGGTGGAAAGTCCTTTTCAGAGGACGAAAATCCATCTAAAAGGTTCTTCTGCGAAAACAATTGGTGCCTTGGTGATTATGTCTGTGATGTTTGTATAATAAAGTTCAGTACCATGGGTCTAATCCTATGTTCCTTTGTATAGCCACTCTTATGAGTCTGAAGCTGATACGAAATGGTATCAAAGTTTAAAGGCAATATCGCAACTTTGGACATAGGTAACTGGCTCTGAAAAGCTCAGTTCACAGGAGGATAAGGCCTGCTGCCTTAGCTGTTTGTTAGAGGAAGAATTCCCTGTGCAGTCCTTAGAGACATAGAGACAAGCTTTTACTCTACCCCTGGAAGAAGCCTGTGTTCTCTGAAAGAGCCTGATTCTAGTTCATTCACTTCCATGTTTTGCTCCTGTCCCTGGTCCCTCGCCGCACACGCCGTCTGTGCTCCAGCCTGCGCTGAACCAAATAGTTCCCTCAACAGAGAAACACAGGCATGGAGCAAAGGCCAGCTCATTCCAGAGACTATGTGCTAAAGACACTGCAGATAGAGGCTGATATAGGGCTGATCTCAAGAGAAACGTTCAAAACCATCAATTCTGTTCAAAACTGAGCTTTTGCTAGTTAGCCCTAGAAGTTCCTAAATTCAGTCCTTTGAGTGAGGAGAAAAATAATCTCAAGAGTTCTCACTCTTGGGAAGGGCTATAATCACAAGATTACCCTGTTTTTATATGATAGGTGAGTGTCAGCTGCTTCTCCTCCAGCTGTGCTTTAAAATAAATTATTGATCTTCAGAAGGGCATTTGCCTGCAGGGTGTCAGGATCTCCCAGGGGACGTATTTGCTTTTGGTTAGCGTTAGCCACCTTTCTATTCAGTGTGCTTAATCTTCTGGATCACCGAGAGAGCCACCAAACTCTCCCCATGTGGTGTCTATGGACTTGCCTCTGGAATCTAGATTACAGCCTGGGAACAGGCACCAAAAATGTGGACATTATAACCCCCACTGGGCAGGCTTGTACGTCCCTTGTGACCTAGGCATTGGTAAGCATCTGTGGGATGATAGTGAGATGCCAAGGGTGTGTTAAAAGGAATCTGTGAGATTTCTGATACAAGAATCAATTGGATCTTAGCTAATTCTTTGAATCCCTTACGGGAAGCAGCTACAAGGAAAGAAGCTAATTCAGGCTAGAGAAATCTCTTGGGCTGCAAATGTATGATAGTGTTTGCTACAGTCCTCCACCCTTCTCACCCCTGTTCCTTGTGCTGGCATGGAGGTTTTCTAGAGACTTTGTCAAAGTTTCTTTAGGTAAAAGTAGTGTGTCAGCCATACTCCTCCTTCTACTGCAGAACTGGGTGAGTTATACCCAGTACAATTTTTAAATAAGCTTGTGCTGTGGGTGTCTCCGCTGTATTTCAAGCCGTGAAACATCTGACATCAACACACGCTTGTTTCACAGTTTAGAGGAAAAGCACTGAAAACCACATGACGCTGACCTTCTAAATATACAAAATATTTGTTACAGAACCTCGTAGGCTACTACTACAGTTCCCTGGAGTGACACTGTTTACACCAACAGCTTGATTTTGAGTTATATTGTCTTTATTTCTGTCTCTTCAGGTAAAAGAAGCTGCGCTTTATAACACGACAGCAATTTTCTTTTGTTCTTTATTTTTGTTCTGCCTGCGTTTTAGTGACTACTTACAAGCTAGTGGTGTAATTACGGAATCAGAAAATAGTAACGGAGGGGACCTATTAGAATGGCTTGCCTCTTTTACCAATGTAGTCTTATTCCACAAATCAGTGTTTTCAGCCACCTGTGATTTGTGATTCCCATGAAATTTCCAGCAGAGATACAGACCCTGCAGTTTATTGTGAATTCAGGCAGACTTACAATAAATTTGCTTTTCTTACCAGCTTTTCAAAACAGTGTTCTGGAATATATTTTCAGGTGCTATATCCATCCTTAGGTAAATAAATGAGGGTTTGACATACCTTATAGATTTTCTAGGTACTTCATTAGTGTCCAGTCGATCACTATAAAAATGCTGCTCTCCCTCCTTGGCTTTTTCTTTCCACAAATGCACATACCTGTCTGCCTTTTGGTGCTCATCTCACTTCTTTCTATGTAAAAATTAGACTACTGCTCTAAACCAGTCATCTCAAATCCCTCTTCTATATAGTCCTTTCCTGAAACAGGTGTCTAAAATAGATGGGATGAACTGCTCTAGAACAGTGCCTGTCTCTCTCCATCTGCTACAGAGGGCCCTACAGGACTAACTTCAACCAACTGCTTAACTCTTAGAAATTTAAAACTGCATGAGAGGAATCTTTCACCATCTATACGAACGCTCTGCCTTAATATGTACGCATGGTTTTATCTGTCCAGTCCTCTAATTAGTTTTGTTACTTTTTAAAAACTTCTAGCCATTGTGTTGAGCAACACAGTGCTGTAAGAGCACACCTTTTAATGCTTGGCAGGCTATTTGCCTTCCTGTCACAGATCAGTTTGGTCTTCGTGGAAGAGATCCTCAGTACGGCTACACTGGCTTCCATGAAGCTGTTGTTAACTCCCAGCAGTGGTGCCAGGTCTCCTTCTTAGCTGTTCCCCCTGATCATATGAAGGGAATGTTGTAACAGAATCATAATGCATCAAGCTTTAATTTTACTTTCATTTGCAGTGATGTCACCTGAGAGATACCTTTCACAAATTTTTAAGCTTCTTCACACTGACAAGGCAAATTTGCCAAAAAGGAAAATAAAATTGAAGCATGATCTGCTTAGAGTTGTAAGGTATGTGCTCTTTTTTTTCTTTGTGTAGGAATTACAACTGTGCTGACTATGACAACAATCAACACTCATCTGCGAGAGACTTTGCCTAAAATTCCGTATGTTAAAGCCATTGACATGTATCTTATGGGCTGCTTTGTATTTGTCTTCTTGGCCTTACTTGAATACGCCTTTGTCAACTACATTTTCTTCGGAAAAGGCCCTCAAAGGCAGAAGAAACTTGCAGAAAAAACAGCAAAGGCAAACAACGATCGCTCAAAGTTTGAAGGCAACCGGGTAGGATTCTTTAGTCTATATATAGCCTCTCTTTTCTTTTATTACAAAAACTAACTGTGTGAAATAAACAAAAAAATCATGCATAAAAACATCACCAACCACATCTCCTTTTTGTGGGCAAACTTTGGCATTTTTATATTCAAGAACCTACCTAGAAGAATATATTTAGGCATACAGAAATTGAAGTGAGCATGATCTGTATAACAAGTAACTGTAAAAAGAAGATAACAATGGGAGTGCAGCTAGCTTGAAAATAAAGGCCCAGATCTACAAAGGCATTTATTTGTTTAAATCAAATATAATTTAATTGTGATTTTGTTTAAGTACCTACGTAAGGGAATCCAGGATCTGAGCATACTTTTTCTCACTTCACTTAGAGCAGACACATTTAGAATGGAAGAGAACAGATAAGGGATTAGTTCTGCCATGCTAATTAATTGGCCAGCTTAGCTGAACCGCTGTGTGTGGCATTGTCATCTGCTGCTGTTTAAGACCAGCAGAAAATTATGATTCCTAGAGAAACTTTCAGATTGATTTCTGAAGCACAGTATTGGCATGGTCTGTGCTGATTATGCTCCAGCCTATTTCCTTGCCTGGAGCATTACTTCATCCAATGAATACCCTTTTCTTTTCCCCTTTGGAAGAAAAATTCAAAGTATTCAACACTATATGATGTTAGCAAGCCATGTCAGTTTGAACAGAACACCTTTTTGGCTTAAATGCTCCCAGTGAGGCTTTTTCATTCAGTTCTGTTGAGTAAGACTGTTTTTTCTATCGGCTATAAATTAGAAGAGTTCATAGTGACAAAACTACTGCCTGTTTATTAAATACCAGTATCATAAAAGTAATTTCAAGCTGTGTTTTTGATCCTAATGATTCTGTCTGCTATGGCAAATGTAATGCAGAACTACACATAATTATTGACACTTATATCTGTGAAATAATTTTTGAACCAATAAACTCATTTTTGTCCACTATATTATGAAACCAAATTCTCATCACAGTTGGCAGCACTGCTTAGGACTAAGCTAGCAGGAAGAATGAATTCCCTTTCCTGGAAAAATAAATAGTTACAATAATAAAAAAAGCAGATGGGGAAAAAAAAGAGTATCAGAATTGAAAGCAATGGAGAAGATTTTAGCTGCAAGCAGGTAATGCAGATGTATGCACTAAGGTTCAGTTCTCCCAATGGAAACCATCTGGTGAATCTCATCCATTTAAATGATTTACATAATTCAGTACAAGTCTTGTTAATGGCCCCAATAGCACCCCATGCCTGACTGTTCTTCTATCTTGAGATCAATTGGTCTATATTGTCAAAAGAAGCATACGAACCTTAACTAATGAAAATGAGGGGTTTTCATACCCAGATCATGTCATTTTTATATCCCAGATCTGATCATACCATATACCCTTTTTTTTTCTCACTTTTGACCTTTTCTTTCCGGACCATCCGAAGCAAATATCGTGGACTTTTCTGACTTTTCTGCTGGTTTAATATCAACCATGCATGAAGGAAATTAGGCTACAAATTCAGCACACCAGAGCTGAAAGAAGAGCGTGTTGCTTTGTCCCTTGTAGTCCCAGCTGTGAAAGGGAACTCTGTATGCTTTGTAGAAACGCATATACTCATACTGACTGTGAATATTTGCTGTTCAAATGATCTAGGATAAATAATGAGGTACAGTCCCATTCTCTGCGGAAAACATTTTGTCTCCAGGCCTCAGCTGGTGAAGTCAACTGAGCTTCGTTGCAGTCACTGGCTTCAGTGCCTTCAGAGAAGCAGTGCCAGCATACAACAGGAAAAGACAGGGACATTAGGTAGAGTTGATCAGAAATCTTCCTTTGAAACAAAGCATAGACAGAAAATGCAGATTCAGTGAATGTAGGATGTCAGATCTGAATTTCTGATTTGAAAAACACTGGCAAATGCAAAGCAGAGGGAATTGCTCAGAGCAGGTAAGAGGTCCTATTGCCTTCGGGATGAGCAGCACAGGGGAAATCCATCTAGCAGATCTACTTTGGACAAAGTTTACCAGGGCGTCCAGACACCGTAGCCCTGAAGAAGGAAAATGGTTGCATGGTTCTGGATTATGCCCACCGTGTACCATACTGTACAGGCATCCATGGATGTAGCAGGACAGGTGGTCATGCCAGACTTTTTTTACATACTTGCCATGGAAGACAGTACCTGAAAGCTCTGCAGCCTTGGCTCTGACCTCTTCTGGGGCAGTAAAGAGGCATTAACTTCCAACCTGTTCTTTGGTGGCTCTTGAAGATCATTGAATCTGATGGAAATAGCGGCTGCTTGGCGTTTGCTTGCTTCTTGCTTTAGAGTTGGGACTCAGGGGCTGGATGTCCTGGGAGAGGCTCACAAACTGGAGGGCATACTGCACAGTAAGGGAGGCTCAAAGCCACAGGTGAAGACTACCTTGTGCGAGTTCAATGACATTACTGTCATCTTCATTTTGTTGAGGCTTCAGGCTTCCATGGAGTGTATTTCCATTCAGAAAGGGAAGGTTTCTAATCCTGGGAAATATTTCAAATCTCACGTGATTTGGGGCTGAGCAACATTTTTAAAGAATGGGAGAGTGCCTAAAAACAGGCAGCCCCCTTTGCAGCTATTGCCATTATTTCATGACTGTCAAAATGTACGCTGTGCTGGAAAGAAGATTGAAAATGGTTGAGATATAAAACTGGAAGAAGGCATTATTTTTAGTTTGTCTCTAAGACTACCATTTTGAGTTTATTTGTGTTGCTGTTTTGTTTTAGTAATTGAATTTGCTTCTATACGAACCATGTGCATGAGCTCGCTGTCATTGATTTAGAGTGCTAGCTCAGGGCACTAGAAAAAAAAACAACCAAAAACCAAACCAAACCAAATAAATAAATAAACATTAGCCCATTTATTGTCCACATCAGATGCTGTAACTAGTGGGTATAGTGACAGAACAACTCTGTGCTGTATCAGGTCCAGCTGACAGTGCTCAGGCAGGAGGGGCTGCGGTGCTGTGGAAATCACTTGTTTGTGTTGGGAGGCAGCACTAGCAGAGCAGAGGCAGCACAACATATTGCCTGGCGTTCAGGCCCTGAGTTTGAGCATTGCTCTTACGGTACGCGAGACTGGGAGTGCTGCTGAGGCAGTGTCTGTCTCTCCGGCAAAGGGAACAAGAGGAGAATGAGGGAAAATGCCACATTATTTTCACTCGGGAGCGTTTTAGACCCTGGAACCCAGTAGAACCAGGATGGACACTGGTATTGTAGTTCATTTTTTACATGTCAGAGAACTGAAGTCTGGCGTGCAAGCTAGCAGGCTTGGTTATAAACACTCCTCTTACAGTAGCAAAAGGGCTTTTCATGCTTTCCTAGTCTTATTTGATTGTAGAGCAGGAGAGCTTTAATAACAAAAATGTTCTAGGCCACAAAATCCACAGATGTGGGTATGTTTGTGTTTTATTCGGTAATTGCTTTGCAAAGCAGCCACTGTTCATGCTCAGTAACTCTGCTTTCTAATGCATGCATTTGCATTGTCCTGCATCGGAGGTTACGGGTTTGAAAAGCCGAAAATGGCACAGCCACCTCCATGTTGCTGCTGCTGCTATGTACACGCCTCTTAAACGCCAAGCTTTTAGGCACTTTTCTTTGAGTTGTTCCTGATACGCTGCCACTGAGGCTTGCTGTGTTGAGGAGGGCTCCACCAGCTGCCGCCGCCGCCAAGCTGCCTGTTGGCTTCACTGCTCCGGTTATGGCTTTCTGTCCAGCTCCACCCATGTGTTAAAGCCAACGAGCCCAATAGCTCCTGGACTTAGAGAAAGAAGAGCCCTTGTAGCATGCAAACAGAACAGCCAGTGTCCTCACATTGCAGAGGTGACAAAGAAAAGCAGTGGGGAGAGGAAAACTCTGCCCTGTATTCTCCTGTGTAGCACTGCTGAAGGTGGGATGATGACTGAGGCACGTCTGACTAAACTGAATCTCTGGAAATGGTTTCAGAAGATTCAGAGCTGGTGATGAGATGAAACCTGAGAGAGCCTTTGCAAATGACTCATCTGTGGATCAGCAGCTGACTACAAAGAAAATTTCACACATAGCCGTCTCTTCTTTTGACTGCTTTTGCATCGTATTTTATTTCAGATAATGCACTGTAAATAGTATTCCTCGCTGAACTTTTCCAGCCTTTTCCCAATAAACCACAGTTACTGGAGATGAACATAGGATGCTCCTTTTTTTGTGTAAACAAATTTTCGTACACGCACCAGTTTTGGATTGAAAACTCTCTCTTGAAAACCTTGATACACTGGTTCATATATAAGAACAAGCTCTAGGCTAAAGGAAGAACTGAATCTTCATTTTTCATAAAATATTTATTCTGCCCATGGTATCGGTGCCTAAATTAAAGTCCTCTGTTTGTGGAAAAACTGTCAGAGAAGAATAGGTGGCCTGTAAAAATGTTTTCCCTTGAAAATTGATCATCATTGTTACGGATCAATTCTGTTTCTCCTGTTTGCATTGGCAGATTCAGGCTTCATTTGTAGCTCTCCGTGCACTTTCAGTTTTGCTACATAAATTGTTTCTTTTAAATAAGGCTCAGGTACAGCCTAATTTACAACTAAATCAGCATGAGACAGGTCTAAGGCAATCCTGTTCTCACTTGTTGTTCACTCTTGTGATAGAGGCTACTGGCATAATCAGCCAGTGAGCATGTGTTTTGGACATTGCTCCTTCTGGGCCAATCCACAGAGGTTATGATTTGTTACAGGTCCCTGCTAAAAATATTGCTTCTTAGTTCAAGCTGTGGCAATTCACGTTTTCAGTTTGGTGGGACCAAAAGTTCAGCCCCAGGGTATCAATCAGGAGGGTAACTATCACAGAAGCTTATTCAAGCTTCAACCCCCTGTGGCTGTCAGACATGCGAGAAGAGCTTCCTTTGAACAAAAATAATGCATAACCCTTTATAAAAAGGCCCTTCTTGTCAGGCAGTTCCTGCATGTTTTTTTAGCTCT